TTCGATGCGAGGTCACAGGTATCACCTGAGGATGAGATGGAATGCCTTATTACCACTAAAATAGTCTTCGGTTCGTTACACTCACCAAACGAAACACAGCAGCATTTCTCTGTTGTTTCACGCTGGTATTCCGTGAGAGCGTGTTCTAACGTGATCTAATATAGCTGCAGCTGCCTCTACCACGTAAAAAATGCATAATGATGTTTGTAAAAATGGTTGGTCTTGACTGAGAAAGGAATTGAAAATCGCACAGAATACTAGCGTCAGATATTATCACAATTCGTTCTTAGTCCTCAGGGGTTATAATGCATCTGCGTGTTGATTCTAAATCGAGGATAGATATTAATGTTTATGACAACATCTATTTGTGATTATAGTAGACTATGTGCTTGTATATCAATCTTATATGGTGTATATAAAAAAGGACATTTTATTAAAATTAATAATAATAATAAGCTAATGCTAATGAATGTGTGGATGATGTAAGGCCTGGGAAGTCGTTTTTTACTTCTTTTTTATAATAGAAAAAACAACTGACACCAAAGCGACGCTTTAAAGGGACCGATTTATACCTATTACAACCACGAAACATTTCTTGCAAAGTAGAAAGTAAAAAAAAATAACAGAAAAATAATTAAATATACCACCATGTATTCAATGCGTAAGAGTATCCATTACGCCATATCATACCGCGGGGGTATCGTAGGAGGGAAAAGAGTGAAATTGAAACACGAGCATAGTTTTGAAATAAAAAAAAAAATAAAAAAAGCTTTGGTTGCGAATCCACCAGACAAGCAAAATTCCTAAAAAAGAATGCAATCTACGAGACCATATGTTCGGTAGTGAACTTTTAATAACCTGTAATGATGAATGATGATGAATGAATTATAAAAATGAACTTATTAAAAGAAACAACTTCAAGGAGTACCCAATTCATCGAATCCAAAAAACTAGGTATTTCATGCAAACATTTTGCTTTTTGACGTATATTATTTTAATTTTTAATGAAAATAACATACGATGGAACAGATATTGGCTACAGCTTACAGTGAGTTTATTGCTATGGACCTGGGCAATATTTGGGTTACACATCTGACATACTAAATTGCTTTACATAGAACATATTTCTGTTTCCATTGATTATCTCATTCTCGCCCAGTATTTACGTTCATATATGTAACGTAATTTAGATAAGTAATGACCCTTTCAGGGTACAAAATGAGTGTCTGGGGACATTTAAAAGGATGAGATATGGTTGGGAATATTACTGTGTAAGATTGTGACAAATAATAAGCTGGACCAATTTTACAACTTAAAAGCCCTGAAATAATCCTGACTAACCCTATATCCAACCAGACATTCCAATTTAGTCCTTACGGGTGACAAATCTTTTGTATTTTCTTTTTATATTATATATATGTATATATTATTCGACTTTTAATCAGGATAGAAGTAGATGTCTTGTCTCTCGTTATTCTAAAAAAAGTCGCAATCGGTAAACAGAACAATTACAAGCAATTATCATTTTATACTGATCCAAAAGTCAATATTTTAAAAACAGCTATCGGTCATTTTTATGTAACCTACGTAAATTTGTAAAAGACTTTAAATAACAGTACAGCTACCCTACGAACTCTAAAAACTATATGACAATGAACGCAGCGCAGGTGCAGCCAGTAACAGATATTTTATAGCTTTGGGGACTATGTGGTTTTTTGTTACATACGAGTACAAATACAAACTAGCGACATAGAAAATCTTTTCATCAAATCTTAAATTAGTTCTAACTACGTAAATGTAGTGTACATGTGGTAGTGGGAGTGTAGTGGACATTCCTACACTCCCACTACCTCATATAACCTCGTGGGTGTCGTAAGAGGCGACAGAAGGAAACAAATCAGGTGATGGGCAGCAGCGTCTTCCTAATAACGACTAAAAATACAAATAAACCAACCCGCTAATGAAGCGTGGAAACTTTCGAAAATACTCCCCCTATGAGGCAATCTGAGGGGGAGGTTTATGTTCAGCAGTGGACTTTAATAAGTTGTAACGGTAAGGGTAAATCTCAAAGGGTTTTATGGTCTGGTTTTATGGTCCTGGTCAAATTCTAGAATAAAATAAATTTTAAAAGAATAAAATAAAATATATTTTGATTGTAGATTTTTGTATGCAATAATTAATGTTACAACAATTATGAGGCAACCGATATGCGTGCTTTCACGACAGGGTGAAATTATTGCCATGGATGGGGAGATGTACTCGCCGTCAGATTTCGAAAATTGTTCCTGTCAGTTTCTCTGTTTAACTTGTCTGTTTGTTGCACCGTCATGTCAACCCATTCGTATTACAACCATAATGTAGCTTCGGCATGGCCCATCAACGTAAAAATCGCGCGACATATGGATAATTTTTTAGGACACTTTCGTTCAACAGTGGAATATGTGTGTGTTTATATATAATATATATATATATATATATATATATATATTATTAATACAAGGAGACATTGAAAAACTTTCTTGTAAATCGTTTGTCGGTTGTTCGAGATAAATGGCCAGGGCGTTGCCATTCCATCTAACTAATCCGTTAGACTATGTCGGTTTGTACGTCTGTAGCTCGCTGAGCGATCTTGAGCTTCCTCATACAACCATCAGTGAAGAACGACGTTAGTAAAATAATTATAACCATAAAATAAAACAAAAATAATCTGTAAACGTTGAAATAAAAAAATGCAGATTTATCGAAAAATTGTACTAAAGAAATATAAGCTGAAATAACTTGAATATAACATGTTACAGGCGTAACCACCAGATATCCGTACTTCCTTGGTCGCTCCTGATATAATATAAGAGATTACATAGCGGACCTTTCGTGGCAATAATTCTCCTTTATGACATTTGGAGGCACATATTTTCCGTTTTTATTTGAAGTATTTCTCTAACTCTTAATTTAAATATATAATATCGATTTACATACAAATAAATTACTTATTTTTAAAAATATATCTAATTTAACGGAATAAATGTCATCAGTACTCATCATCATTACAACCCTAACTACGACTACAGTAGTACTACAACCCTACTAACACTAAGTATTGAACTTTTGCAATAGCTGCAACGCTTGACAAGTGGGTGGCAACTGTAGCTTTTCACGTTATTGCACTATTACTGCAGCATCCATGTCTAGAGTCCTGACATCATAGTTTCATACAACATTGTGTAAAACTTGCTTTTTTTTCCAATTTATTACCTTTTAAAATATTTATATCGAAATAAACGAACAGCTCAACATCATATAGTGCACCTACGTGCTGGAGTTTACGCTGCAGTGATTATGGCTGTAGCACGAATGGGTCAGCAGGATCGGGGAATGACTATAATCACACTTCAAACTAACAAAGAAAAGCACTGCGAACATTTTAATCGATGCCAAAATCAAACCAAAACTGAGCCTGTATTATTACTATTACTATATCAATTATTGTTAAAGAACGCACCCACGCACATATATTATGCATAATCATCAACAATTATTACCAACACCATGGTTTTAGGTGCATGTGTTTGTTTGTCCAACAGTAGAATTTCACGAACACATCTTTGTTTAAGAAGGAGTTGATCATGGTTTTGGCGTCACTTGAAATGTATGCAACGCTTTGTGTACCTTTTTTTTGTTGGTCTGAGGCTCGCACAGAATTTCATCATGCAAAAGCAGTGTAATACTACATGAAACACGGTGGTGTTTTGCATGGTGATTGAAATTCTTGTATTTTACCTCGTTTTTACCCAACTGCTGAGGGTAATGTTTTTCGAGAGTATGTATGTATCTCTGCATGTATGTAATTCTATTTATTTTACACGCTCTCTAACTTGATGGATTTTAACATATGAGGTGTAGTTCGATTCGCCTTTAGTTGTGGGAGTGTCATGTGATATAAAACTTTTAACCTAATAAAATAATACTAAAATAAAAAATAATGTTGTACTCGTTTTAATAGGATCTCTTTTACACTTGGGTCGCTAAAAATGTATATTATATGTGTATTTGCCGATGTCATGTAAGGATGCCTTGAGGCACTACGGCATGTACGAGCATATTTCTTTCGTTTGTGTCTAAGCGACTGGTACACAACTCTTTATTGTATTTGAAGTCAAGCAAAAATTCCCTTTTATCAAATAATCAAAAGCTGCAGTTAAACGAGCAACTTGTTTATTATACGTTATAACTATATTATACCTTGACAGGCAGGCTGACAATCGCAGCTTTTTTATTATTTTGAGTTGTTGTCAGGAAGATCCTGGTGCAACATGACTGCGATGTTTTTCACGTGGTAGAGCCATGCTGCAGCTATATTATGGTTGTAGCACGAATGGGTCGGCTTGACCGGGAAGGGACGCTCTCACAGAATACCAGCGTGAAATAGCTGCTCAATGCTGCTGTGTTTCGTATGCTGGTTTCTACAGTACCGGATATCTTTTCATTGTTAACAAGACATCTTAGTCCTCAGGGGTGACAACGTAATTGTGCATTTTCATTATTAATCGAGTTTAGCTGAATACGTCTTAGTTACTACTGTTTTAGTTCCCCTGGTGACTATCGATGGCTGGTGGGCTGGTGGGATGCAGTCGGGGTGGTTCCTGAGACTCCCTTAAGCCGCGTACATAATAATGATAACTATAATCGTTAACTATAAATAAATTAAAACACAGTATTGAAAAAATTTAACTTTTAAAATAAAAAATTATCCGATGAGTATATATTTTTTTCTGTTACTATTTTTAATTAATTAAATATCGTCTGATTAGCAACAGCCTATAATTAATTTGATGGTTCTTCTCCAAAACTTCCACATGCAAGATATATTATGTAACTATGTTGAATGAAATTTCAGCTTTCGCTATCAAAATACTAAATAACTTAAAACCGCACTTAATTAAAATCTAAGTTAACGTATCTAAAACCATGCAGTGATTAAATAATTTAACTTTAGAACTATTTTACTTGGAAACTTTATACTTAATACAAGGCATATTTATTGTAGCAGCGAACAGTACACTATCACACGATTTAAAATTTGGCTCGAAGCACTGTGACCACAGATCTATAGCAGCATTCTTATGTATGTTACCGTCATGACATATTAACTGCCTATGAAAATCCATTTCTAGACTTATGGTTGAACCACAGATTGCATCATAGGGATGATATATTTCATAGCCACTCCACGACACATACTATGTTTGATCAAGACCTAATATTATGGTTTAAGACATTTATTTTCTCAAAAGATTTACAAATCGCTTACAGAGAAAATACACATTATAAACAGAGAAAAAAACATTAAGCCGATTGGCGTAGTGAGCTAGTATTACAATAGGTCGCTAAAACTTAATTTCTAATTGAGTGCTTAATAACTTATTTAGTAAATATTACACATAAGTAAATAGGGTTGTTGCAAAAGTATTCGTACCAAAGCTAAGCAGACCATCATTACTTCGGTCAAAATTGAATGAATGTGGCGAGTTATTTGTTAAGGCCTATGACACATTAACTATTTTATTGTGTTCAAAATTAATTTATAGTGTTAGCTGTTATTGTTTGTGTTTATCTTTTAAAACCATTACTATATGTAATACGATACTATAATTAGGTAGTGTTTCTTTATTTAGTATATTATATATTTAGGTATTAATTTGTTTGTAATAATATAAGTAGTGTTGCACATACGCATAATGCAACGTATATATACATACATACACACATACGTACATACTCATATATACACACATATAGATATATACACAAATATATGTATAAGTTATCTTGTCTCATATCTATAATCATACTGTGTATAAGTAATTATATTGTATTATCTCTATACAACTATTTTATTGTAGATATTATTATTAAGGTTGCATGTGTAACTTCATATATTATGTAGATTAGAGATTTGTGATTATTAAGTTATTATGAAAAATCCTTTAAAATGTGGCTTTTTAGCAATTTCTTAAAAGTGGACAGGGATTTTGTTTCTTTAATGTTATTAGGTAATTTGTTGTAGTGTTGAGCTCCCTCATAAAGAACACACCTTTTTCCATAGTTTGTTCTATATAATCTCAAACATAGGTTATTTACTTGCCTTGTCATACGTTTATGATAATCTATCTTTTTTGTAAATGTTATTTGAGAGTGAATAGCATTAGTAAGTATTTTCCTAATAAAAATGCATATTTTATATTTGTACGTTTGGGCTAGATTAAGTAATTTGGTTTATATATTTGAGTGGTAGGTGTTATGTATTTATATTGGAATAATATTTTTATGATTTTATTTTGTGTAACTTGTAGTTTTTGCAACGTTGATTTAGTAGCTGAGCCCCATATCTCAATCTAAATGAGGCTTAACTAAAGAGTTATATATGGTATATTTGACATGTCTCGGGAGACACCGAACTATAGTTTTTAAAGCTCCTGTTAATGAGTAGATTTTATTATGGATCTTCTCAATATGTTGTTTCCAGGTAAGTCGACCGTCAAGAACAAGGCCTAAATATTTCTCGTTGTTAACTTTGGTTAATGTTTCATCATCAATAGTAAGAGGATTGTGACTTGCAATTTTTCTATTATTTGCACTAAAGATTACGTATTTTGTTTTTGAGGCATTGATTGTTAGTAAGTTTGACTGTAGCCAGGTTTGTAATATGTATAAGTCTTGCTGGGCTTCACTTAGTACTGATTGTAACGAGTGACCAAAGTAGAAGAGGCTGATGTCGTCGGCGTATAAAGTGATATCTCCCTTTAGTCCAATTTCATATATGTTGTTTACATAAATAAGGAACAAAAGGGGTCCCAATATTGATCCCTGTGGTATGCCACAAATAACCGGTTGGGGGCTGCTTTGCTGATTATTAATTTTGACAACTTGAAATCTATCAGAAAGATACGATTTAAAAATGTCAAATGCCTTTCCTGTGATACTTATGTCTTTTAGTTTTAATAATAGGATGTCATGGCTGACTGTGTCAAAAGCCTTTTTTAGGTCAATAAAAATACCTAATGTAATTTTTTTCTGATCAATGTTAAGTCTTATGTTGGTTACTAAATCAACAGTTGCAGATACAGTGTTAGACTTTGGGCGGAAGCCATATTGCTTTTTATAGAGGTAATAAATAGAAGTCAGGTAGTCATATAGTCATTTATGTAGTATTTTTTCAAATAATTTCGATATTACTGGAAGTACCGATATTGGTCGGTAATTGTTTGGGTCTTGTTTGCTTCCGGCTTAAAAAATAGGACTAACTTTTGCTGTTTTTAGGCTATTTGGAAAATAGCCATCACTTAAACATTTATTAATACAAATAGCGAGGTTTTCTACCATATTGTCTTTAATACACTTTAAGGATTTTGTGTTCATGCCATCTAAACCGAAACTAGTGTTAGAATCTAATTATTTTATTATTTTCAGTACCTCGTCTGCGGTCGTTGGGTTTAATTTTGATAAATCAGTGTTGTTGTTTTTAGGTTTGTTGTATGACAGTGTTTGTGTAAAGTTTTTATGATATTTTTGCGGTATTTTATTTGCAAGTTTAGAGATTTTGGGATTTTGTTAAATACCTTAGGTCTGCCAGATCTGATTTATTGTTTGACAGTCTATTAATTAGTTTCCACATTTTTAAAGGACATTTCTTATAATCTGTGAAAGCCTTATGATAAAATTGTTTTTTAGCTGTTTGGATATTTGCAAACGTAAGGTTTCTTTGTTTTATAAATTCTGTTCTAAAATTTTCATCTTCAGGTGTTTGCTTTAAGCTGTACCATAGTTGGTTCCTTTTATTCATTAAAGCAATTAGGCCCCTGTTTATCCACTCTTTGCAAGGCGGATTGACCACTTTTGTTTTTCTTATTCTATTTTTTGCAATAGTTTGTAGTAGTTGCCATTCTAGCTCATCATATACTTGAAATGACTTGTTTTGAGAAATTTCTTCAATATTGTTCTGCAGGTTGTTATAGTTAATTGCTTCATATTGAACTTTTTTTATGCGTTCGGTTTTCGGTCTGTTTAACTCAAGATATATTTGTTTGTGATCAGCTATGGGGGATTCAATAATAGACATTTGGAAAGTATCATTTTGTAAGTTGGTACATACATGATCTATAATAGTTTAGGATGTTGTGGTTTCACGAGTGCAATACTCGGTGCTGATTTTATTCAATATTCTTATGTTATTCTCTCGCAGCAGTTCTTTATATTCTTTTACGTGTTTGTCGTTAGTAAGTAGGTTAAGATTAAAGTCGCCGAAGATAATAACACGCTTTCTTCTTGCAAGGTGTTGGTTATAGTTTTCAAGAAACTTGTCAGTACTTGCTGCTGGCTGTTTGTATATGGCACTTATGTCCAGGGAAAAAGTGTCAAGATGTACCCATAAAAAGTGGTTTCCGTCTTCACATTGATCCTCCAATAATTCGTGTTTTAAATGCTTATGAATGAACAAAGAGACCACCACCTCTAGAATGAATGAATGAATTTTCAGTAGTTATAGTAGTGAACATAGTTTGGTAGTTTTAATCTCTGTGCTTCGTCTTCGTTTTTTATCCAAGTTTCCGTAATAATTAAAACATGAATCTTCGTTTCGAGTGATTCCATAATACAACGTATTTCATCTAGTTTGCCTGGCTTAACTAAACTGCGAATATTGGCGTAGAAAAATTTTAGTGCTTTGTTTGTAATAGATAAATCTGCATAATTATAATGATATTTATGAGTTATAAATTTATCCTTATTTGTAGTTATTATATTTTCTCTGGTGTCCCGCTTTATGTTTCCTGTTTTATTATTTTGGGTGTTCCTTTTATATACTTTATAATTAAGTCGTTTTCCCCTTTTTCTTTGCGCTGACGTAACTCTTCTCGAAGGTTTGCCATTTCTTGTTTTTGGTTAGGTGTCTGATCGGAAAAGATTTTTATATTACTTACTTTGCAGTTAAATTTATTTTTTAATAAGGTTTTTGCTATATCTGGAGTTAAAAAGCAAACTTTTAGTGGGCGCGTTTTCTTCCCATCATACTTGCCTAGGCGCATTATTCTTTCTGGTTGGGGGGTAAGTGGATAGATGCCTGATAGTACTTTCATCACTTCACATCTATCATTTTCCCTCTTTTCTTCCATATTTTCTGAATGTGGTTCGAAAATGCCAGTGATTATTATATTCTTGGCGCGCTCTAAACGCTCTTGAACTTCGGTCATTATATCTGCATAACCATTCGCTGTCGGTTTAGGACATCCTGGTGGTAAAGGGGCATGTACAGTGCTCTGAAGAGCATGTACATCATTTTCAATACATTTTAATTTTTCTTCATTATAAGTGACAGTAATTGTTAGTTTTTGTATTTCAGACTTGAGGGTATTATGTTCTAAGAGCAACAAGTCCGTTTTAGTTTTCATATCAATAAGTTGTTCATTGATAGATTTGATATCTGTTTTTATAGAATTGATTTTTTCTGTCTGGGATTTACCAAACTCCTTTAACACTCCTATAATTTCCTTTTTAAATTTATTGAATTGGACCGAGAAATCATCCTCAGGCACTTTTCTTTTGCGTTGCGACACATTTTTATATTCGTACTCAGTTGCTGCAATGATTGACAGGTCAGGCTGGGAACTACCATTCCCACTAATAATATTCATTTTGTCACTAGATTTGGTTGTAGGTGAACGTTGGACACTCATATTGTTGTATGTGTAAATAAATTTCCCGCTCCGCTTATCGCTCCGCTCGGTTGGTATCTGCGTGACCCTCACTATGGTATATTTCTTTCCGAAACCAATAGTAAATTAAAGGTAAATTAAACATAAGAATGACTTTCAATTAATGTTATTGATATTGAATAATAAAATTTCTATTTTTTATTTCTATTATTTGCGTAAATATAATAAATCCCAGCCTTTATTTGTCTTTGGACATAAAATAGATTACGATTTTTTGTTCTTACCATGGGCACACTTTATTTGCAATAGCACTATAATTTGGCACAATTAAGTTATAATTAGGTAGGACTACTATTTTGAATTTTATTTGTCGAAGTAAAGAGTAAACACGTCCGCTCACTACGCGAGTCAACACTATTGATATTGATATTGATAGTCTTCCGCTTGGTTCGCGCACTGTTAATGATATTGATATTGATCGATTCGCGTTAAACGAATCTTCTCCACAACAGTGGTGTTGGTCAAACCATTTTGTTTCATTTATAAAAGAGAGACATCATTCACAATCTAGGATTTTACACACCTGATAAATCAAAAAATTTGTTGGAAATGTGTAGGAGGGTGGGTATACTCCCACCTGCTTGAGATCCTGTAATTTATAAAATTAAAACAAAAACAAACTATAACATTTCAAGACTTCAATATACGGTAAGCTCATTCTGCTCATATATTAGAATGAAATAAATATTTAAAATATGTAGTTAGTAAATAGTAGTACATTAAGGTATTCCGAGTGTACTTTGACGTCGGCGATGACTTTGAGAACCAAATATAAGTAAAATTAAACGCGAAAAATCAGTAAAAGTAGATTTATTCAAAGTATAATAATAAAACTATACAAAAAAAAATTCACATTGGATAGCAAAAACAAAAAAGGCTACCAACAAGGCATAATGCTTCCAGTAACAGTTTCCGTAAAACTGACATTCTGTCGGAGCCAACACAACTCGCCAGCAACCACTGTATATAACATTATTTTAATCACTTTGCAAAGTTTACACTAAATCTACAATAAGGATATTTTTATTTATTTCACGATCTCCTTCATCTTATAAATTTATGGATATTGATTACAAAAAATGGAATGAGGTGATCACAAAGAAGGTAATTCTTATACGGCAAGTCATATTAGAAATAAATAATCATTTTTTTATAGAATAAAAGTGACAAGCGAGCACACAGCTCACCTGATGGTAAGTAGATGCTATAGCTCATAGACATCTACATCTATCCTTAAATAAGAATCGAAGTGCAGATGCGTCGTCACCCCTGAGAAATAAGATGGAATGCCTCGTATCCAATAAAAAGTGTCTCAGGTTCTCTATACTTGCCATATTAATCACAGCAGCATTTAGCTGATATTTTAGATATTTTATGTTGATATTCTGTGAGAGAGTGTCCCTAACTCGGGAAATCTGACCCATTCGTGCTACAACCATAATATAGCTGCAACATGGCTCTATTACGTAACATGCTACATAATACATTCTTGATTGTAAACTGCTCTCTTTTCAAAAAAAATATGTCCCGCTGGATTACTTGCTGGTTCTACCCAGAACGGAGATATTTTCAAAACCAGTGGTAAATTAAACATGAAAGTAAGTTTTATTAATAATCCATATCGAATATAACTATTTCTATTTATATTGAATAATTTCTGCAGTATATTTTTATTATTTGAATGTATTATTTAAGTTGGCCTACACAATGCTCTCTTCCAATAAAATAAACTCTACCTTTGATGCTACCGCTTTTAATTTTGTCTTTGCACAAACTAATAAACACAGAGTAAAATAACTATAAAATAATTATAAGTCTATGTTCATATTTACGTAAAAAACATTTATACGTAATATATACAAACAAATTCTCTTACATCGCCACTACAAGGCGATACTTACAATATAATAATAATACGACTAAATAACTAACTATTAACTGTCTATATAACCAGACAGTAGTTAAAATGTAAAAGTTAGTACAAAACATTTAATGTACTAGACGTCGGTGAACCATCGACGCGACAGCTAGACTGTTTTCATTTACTCGTTTCAAAGAGACACCTTTCCCCCCGTAAAATATTTGAGTAGCTCGCGTACAAACCATGAAAACGTGAAGGCGGAATTACTGAAACTTGTATATGAGAAAGTAGAATTAAAAACATAATAATAGGACTCTTCTTCGTCATCGTAACACTCTGGTAAAGCGATCGTGGTCTTCATGAAGAGACGTGTTTCTGTTAGTCGCCTCACAAGCATTTGCCACTTTGCTCTCCTCGCAGACACTCGGTAAGCTCTCTTCTACACGTGGTAGCACCATGTTGCAGCTATATTATGGTTGTAGTACGAAAGGGACGGCTTGTCCAAAATGTTTCGCCTTCAGCAGCACCACATCACCAGAGCATCAATTTACTTTTTCTCGAATCGTCGTAAAAACTTATTCTACGCAGTGTATAAAAATATATAATATTAAATAATTATATATATATATATATATATATATATATATTTTTTTTTTTTTTTTTTTTTTTTATATATATATATATATATACAAGTGTTTAAGCAGACCGTATCTTTTACCTTTTGTTATGTTCGCCTTCTTCAGCCTGTCTAAAGCAGTTCTTGTTATCACCATACATCACTCTAGTTTATCCATGCAACGTCCATTGTTAACACTAAAGTACCAGATATATTCAAGAATACATAAGAGTAGTGATTTTAATATTTTTATTTAAGTAAAGTTGATACACGAATACATATTCCTAGATGAAACTTTATAGTATTTCAAGCAAAAAAATAAGTTTCAAGATAAAAAGTAATTAAGCAAAAATCTTACATAGCGATAATAATAAAATTTAGAACAAAAGTTATTATTCGTTGATTAAAACTACTTTTACGAATTTTACGAGTATCAATTTTAATTTACTTTACTTTTAATTTCCGACGTTTCGGGTGTTTTCCCGCACCCATGGTCACGGGAAACTAAAGTGACTGACGTCCCGATGTTAGTGTTAACCCGAAATATCTTCAGTTTTTTAATTATTATTTATTAGCAAGCTGAAGTTGCAATGGGTCAGCCATAGGAATCTAAGAATCGACAACCGATGAGATATTTTTTTTTCTCAAATATCAATCACGTACCGGTAAGTGAAGTATAAAGTGGCCCAACTTCTAGATGGTGTGATGATAACCTGGTAAGATATTCAGTGAGTTCATGGATTTTGAGATTATAGCAAGCCCTTCAACCAGACGCTCAGCCAGTCTCCACCCTTTGTTGTCGACTTACAACGCAATAAAAGCAAATGGTTTGCTTTATCTTTCGTCATGCGTACGGCAAAGGTGTGTAATAAGTTGCCAGAATCTGTCTTTCATTTTTTTTTGTATCTTTCCATTTTTTTTAAAAAAAACGTTAAGATTTAGACCTAGTGTCCCTCACACTAGGAAGTTACAGAAGAAAATCCTAGTGTGGGGACACTAGGATTTCCTTCTGTATTGAGCAGGCAGTTTACATACATAAACCGCACAAGGACAAACATCTAGTTGTCAACATGTTGACAAAGTTTTACCGCAATCTGATGAACTTTATGGTAGCGCATAAAATAGGAACAAACAAAAATTAATGTTTATATATTAGAAAATTAATAGTAGTTAGAAAATTAATAGCACAGACAGAGTAATTTAAATATAAAACAGAATTTATGCCTTACTCAGTTTAGCTTAAAATACTCAAGGGACGATTTAAAGCAAAATATACTGACTATTACGATCTGCGGTCCCTCCGATTTATAAAAGCAAAACATTAAACATTCTGTATAAAGTTGAAATTTTGAATTTTTTGGTTGATATTTGCAGTTAGTTTAAATAATATTATCAAGATTCAGTTATCTTATTATTACTTAAATTCTTTTTATAGGATATGGATGACAAACGCGCACACAGTTCACCTGAATGATGGTAAGTGGATGCTGTGGCCCATAAACACTACTATCCTCAATTAATAATTATAATACAGAACCATGGTCACCCTAGAGGATTAACGTGAAATGTGTTGTTTCCAGTAATAAGGGTCTCCGGTTTCTACACTCACCATACGAAACACAGCAGCATTAAGCTGCTACTTTGCGCTTGTATTATGTGAGTGCGTGTTCTTGAGCCGGTCGAGGCGACCAATTCAGACTACAACCTTTATACCTAAATAGCTGCAGCGTGGCTCTACCACGTAAAACTTATACCACTGCTATAGACACACCTCTCCCATAGACATCCACGGGAAGTATGAGTGATGGATTCTCATAGTTCGCCTCAGCAGCCCTGGCATAGAGTAGCCAGTTAATAGTGTTGCGCGGCTAAGTTGACATCTGGCACTAGCGCCATCTAGTTTCGGGTAACAGAGCGAAGAGAGAGCTTTCCGGAAAATGACATCACTAATCTTTCAACCGACAGCGCCATCTAGTATCGAATTGAAGAACTAAGCTTTCTGGAAGCCCCAAACTCGAAATTTCTGCGCTTGGTCGGTTGGCGTGCGTATTTACTCCAATATTCTGGAATATTCTGGATGTTTTCGTGGAAGAGCCCTATATAAAGGCGCTGCAATACGCGATCGGGGAAGTATTCAATTCGGCGAGACAAGCGAAACTTCAGAGCGGAATAAAGTGAATCAGTGTGCTTAATTATTAGTTTTTTAAGTTTTAATTTGTGTAAAGAAAATTAAAGTGTTAATTTAGGTAATTCTATCGGTAATTTTTATTGTCACGAACCTCAAGCTCGTAACAATTGGTGTCAGAAGTGGGATAAAATCATGCCGATTTTACCTAAGGAGGAAACGGAGGGTGTCCGTACCCGCAGTCAACGCCAGCAAGAGACGGACCAAAGAAGATTTGGTGGTGCAACGCCGCAGACGTCGGAGGGCTAGCCGCCGGCTGCAGACCCGTCAGTAGCTCCTACATCTGCAGCACCAGACTT